CACTTTAATCCGTGAAAGAGACAAAGCTGTTCAGGAACTGAGGGCTTGATTCTCTCCACACACACTAATGAGACTTAGGAGTAAACTCCACTGAAATCAATGGAATTATACCAGTGCAAGCGAGCACAACCAGACTCCAATATTAGGGTGTTGCCATCATTGTAGTATCAGAAGCAATTTTATAAAGCTTTCAACAAGATTAAATTGTTTGTCTTTTTTTAAAAAGACAAACTGATCTTCTGTTCTTTCACTGTAGAGTAAGCAGCGTATATTTCTCAAAAAGCTCATACCCAATTTTTTTCTCTCTTTTGCTGTTTCTAGAAAACAAGTCTATAACTCACTGCTAAATCCAAAATCCCCCACTGTGCAAAACAAAGTTTAACAATGAAAAAGTGAGACTTGCTGAAATAGACTGGGACAAATTCATGCCTGGTATAATTCTACCAAATTAAATAGATTAGAGCAGGGATGAGTTTGTCCCATGATGTCTTAAAATCTGCATAGAAGTTGGCTACAATCATTACTACTGGGGGCATTCTGCACCAAAAAAATTAAAAAGCTGCGCACAATATTTTAAAATTCTGGAAAAATCCACAAATTTTATTTGTCAAAATAACACTACATAATCATGCCAGTTTCAATTATTTTGGTAATTTATTTCAAAATACCTGTCAGCAAGTATATCTATAATAATACAGACACACAAAAATTCACCCAGGAGTAGAGAGTTAAAGAAACCCCTATGACAACCCAGTTCCTGTTTCTCTGCCCCCTTCCCCTCCCCAGAGCCCAGTCAGGGGGGCAGACACTCAAAACCCCTTGCCCACAAAACCCACCTGCAGGCCCCCCCCAACCAATACACCCACACATCCTCCTCCTCAGAGCCCAACCGTGGGGCCCTCCCCCAGCCCAGATACCCACACCCCATCCCCAGCTGCAGGGTCCCCCTCCACCCCAGAACCAAGGGATCCAGAGGGAGAAACAGCCTGATGCTCTGTCCCAGGCTTGCACAGAGTTTCCTGCACACTGCCCTCTCCTTTCCTCAGGGCATGCTGGGAACTGCAGCTGCCAGGAATCCTCTAGCTCTCCCCCCAGCAGTGTCTTCTATGTGCAAGCTGGGCTCTGCTGAGTCCAGTGACCCCTAATAGCAGCTAGCAGCACTGCAGCCCATTTCTTTGGGGGAAAGAAAATTCTGCATGCACAATGTTCATTTCTGCAAAATTCTGCATTGCGCAGTGGCACAGAATTCCCCCAGGAGTAACTGCATTACACACTACGGTCACATGACTGTTGTGTTAAATAGTCTTCTTGTGTAATTTTGGTGTACACCTGAGGGCAACTCAAAGACATTTTTATTTACCAGTTAAATGCTCTCAGTCATAGCATACAGAGCATCCACTCATTAAACTGTGCATATTGTATATTTCACATGTTTTATAACATGCAAAGGACAAATGCCAGTTTTATCAAAAAGATACATTTATAAACAAACATTTCTTCCTTACTGGACATTGGTAGAAGATCTCATATTTATTACGACCCTCCACACTCTCTAGTGCCATGTATTGACTCAGGCCAGTGTGAATGCAAAAGGTTAAAGGAAGACATTGTTTCAAACCAAGACGCTGTTGAAATCCCCCAGCTGCTGTGTCAATATCCAATAAATCCTCTGAACGATAGTGATTGGATAGTGCCATACTTCCCATCAACCTTAGAAGGAACAATAACAAAAATAGAAACAATGAACACTTGATTAACAATGCAAAGATAGCTTTTACCTTTTACTCAATGAATAACAACTCATTCTAAGGTCTAATTCTGCCATCTAGGCATAATACTTATACCCAGAGAAGTGTGAATTGTAATGTTTTCTACAGAATCAGGTCCTCAATTCATAACACCAGCCTTACAGATTTCTTTTTTGGTTTTTTTGGGGTAAGAAAAAACTAAGCGGTTTTAACAAATATGGTCTTGCTCATTTTCCATGCTTCGCACAGGAAGAAAGGGAGTTCTGGGACATTCTGGTGACTGTCAATTGCCTCACAAGTTAAAGCAGCCTAGGGCATCCGTTCACCATTGAAATAGCATAATAGGGCAGCTTCACAGGCAGAAACTGGGACTATATTCTGCACTTCAAGTTTTGCATCAACTCTTTTCAGTACTAAAAGGAATATTCATGAATGCTTAGTTTCTATAGGCCAAGAAATTGTCAACTTTAGTAACAAATATTTGACAAGACATATTGTTACCTAGAAAAAAAAAAAAAAGAACAGGAGTACTTGTGGCACCTTAGAGACTAACTAAGGTGCCACAAGTACTCCTGTTCTTTTTGCGGATACAGACTAACACGACTGCTACTCTGTAATTGTTACCTAGATTCATTCACAAAATGAGTTGAGACTGAAGCCAGATGTAAGAAATTAATAAAATTCAACAACTCTGTTCATCCCTTAAGAATAGTTAAGAAACAAGTCAGCAATTATTTTAACAGATACCTATTTATGGATCTGCACTTAGGATTTACATAGACTTGAAAATTATTCAGTTACATTTGGAAGGAAAAGAAAACCCCCATGAAGCATGCTTCTCTTTTTCATCAGTAGAATCTGAAAAATACACCTCTACCCCGATATAACGCTGTCCTCGGGAGCCAAAAAAATCTTACCGCGTTATAGGTGAAACCGCGTTATATCGAACTTGCTTTGATCCGCCGGAGTGCGCAGCCCCGCCCCCCTGGAGCGCTGCTTTACCGCGTTATATCCGAATTCATGTTATATCGGGGTATAGGTGTAGTTCACATTTAGCTGGCCAATCTGCCATAGGTTATAAACGTACACTAAATCAAAAAAAGCAGACACCTAAAATAATCATGAAAACTTTGACATGTAGTGTTAAACACCACAAAATTTTGCAGATTACAGCATTCTCATTGTTTTCTGGCACAATTTGATGGACATTCTCCAGTAGCTCTCTATATGTACAAATATTTCCAATACAGATGGGCTGGTGAGAGATGTGTTTGTTGGAAGACATTGGAAAGAGCTATAATTCTAATGCAACATAACTGGCAGCTGGTGGGGGGAAAGGAGAGAGAATCACACAGTGCCTAGTTCAAGGTATCTGTATTCAAGCTGAGAACAAAAAAAAAGTCAAGAGAGAGCCTTCACACTTTTAGCTTGCTTTAAAAAAAAAAAAAAAAAAAGAAGTGGGGAAGAGTTAATAGGATAAAAACGTAAACTGTCTCAGCATGCAGGCCTAGTTACTCCCAAGCATTGCTTAAGCATGACAACACTCTTATGTGGCAGGTAAACAGCTTTGGAAATTTCTGAAGTGTCAAGAGCAATACTGATCAGATCCTTCAAGAAGCTGTTTTATGTCTTTCACTATTTTCTCTTAAAAATGTACAGTTTGGATACATTAGTAATATTAAGCCAGGATTTAATAGCTCTTGAGGGTCATAGTAGGATAGCATTTCTAGAAGTTTTTACCATTTCCTGACCAGTTCCATTACATCACTTGGCTTTTGTTAAATCACTGACTTGTCCACAGAGGGGAGATTTTCAAAGGGGAACAAGGCATGTCACTCCCATTGCCTAATTCCCTTTTGAAAATCTCTTCTAGAATACCTACTTGTAAACGGTCCAAGTCATCCTCATGAATATGCAGAACTGGTTACTTCTTACACACCTGGTTCTAGGGTTGGGGGAAAAAGATACCCAAAAAGGCTCAAGCTGCCGCCCAGTGAGAAGTTAGAGGTGCCACAAACATGCAAAAGCCAACTCAAACACACACACACACACACACACACACACACACCCCTCAGATCCCCATCTTTTTCCATCAACATACCATTCTTGGAAGTATTTCTACCACTCATGTCACTTTCCCTCAAATACAGCCCAGTGTGCTAAACATGAGAGGCTTGAAGGTGCACAATATGCAACCATGTTTAGTCACTTGTTTAAGATATCAAGAATTGTCAGTTTTACATTTCAGGGAGACTTCATCTTTTCAGTAACATGGAAAAAAATTTAAAAAATTATATTTTGTAGGGTGCAAAATTTCTATTCTAGTCTTCTGCTTTTCCAATGGTTCCACCTCCACACTTAAGACTATTCTTGTATTGCCAGGTCTGGAAATTAGTTCCCTGACCATTTTATCACACCATTTATTCTGCAAATTCTGGTACAAAATAGGCTAATTCTGCTCTCAATTACAACACAGAGAATCCAGAGTAACTCTGTAAATATTGGTGTAATTGAGGGCCATAAATATCCAGGGCTAAAATTTTGTTAATTATGAAGGGTAAAACTTTCCAAAAGCATTAAAGTCCCATTTTCAAAAGTGACTTGGGCATTTAGGATCCTAGCTCCATTGCAAAGGAACTTAGATGCCTAGGTCCCACTGCTAAGGCACTGCTGACAGTGGGACATAGATTCTTGTGAAGATTTCACCCAAAGAACACAATAGCTAACTTCTATACTATATATAATATTTTGCATAGCCTGCTCAGCAGGCATTGCAATCCTCACTCCATGTCTCAGTTTAACTGAACTGGCCACCATGAAGAAAAAGAAATAATTAAATAATGGAACTGATAGTAGGTTTAACTCCTTACCCAGGAACAACTAGTTTCTGTCCATTATGAATACGAAATGAACACCGATAATCATCAGGGAGTTTGCAACCTATTTGTGCTTCCACAGCATCTAGGTCTTCCTCCTGCACACTATCTGCAAACACATTAAAAACAGGGTTTTTTTAGGTGGCAGCTTCAGACAAGAGAAACAAGAACTGTTGCTTCAGAGATTATCTCAATAAATTGGATCCTGCTTAAAGTACTTTGTGTAAACCCCTCTTAAAATTCAATTGGATAATGCCTGACAAAAATTGGTGGCTCTCTTAAGACAACTAGAGACAAATGTTACTTTCATTTACACAGTTGCAACCCCTTTGGCTTCACTGGAGCTGCATTGCTGTATGTCAGAGCAGAATTTGGCCTAACTAAATGTTTTTAAGTTTTTCAGCTATGCTATAGTGGCATCAGCAAATGTACAATGAATTTAAAAAAAAAAAAAAGGCTCATTTTAAAGCCCCCTCCAGCCACCACAAGGACCCGAGTTTCAACTGCATTTGACATTACAAAAGTGCAGTGAATTAAAAAAAAAATTTGTTTTGTTTTAGGAGCAGTCTTATTCTACATTTAGTGCAAAGGAAAACAAAAATAGAAATGATCTGACTCAATCATCCAAGAGTCCAGAAATTCAGAATTAAGGTTATCACTCTCCTTATTCATCCCACTGTGACTCTCTAAATTCAAAAGTAGGATTTTTGACCAATGACCCTTGATATTGGTGCTTACCGTTGGGCACAATAGCAAGAATAATTATGGACAGCATTACCTTAACTAATACATCTAAGAACATTCAAAATTCAGATTATTATTTGTACTACCAACTCCTTCTTCAAGCAAACAGGGAGTTCATTACATGGTACTAACTCCAATAGTATGCTAGTGTGTTAGGTAACATAAAATACCAGTATATCACAAATTTCAGAACAAGGGTTACTCATATAACAGTAGTCTGTTTTTGCCTCCTAAGAGATCTCAACAATACTAATCTATTAGAAGTAGGTGTTTCTTCAATAGCACAGGCTGGAGAAACAAAGTGACTCACTCTTAGAACCTTCCCTAAAAGAAAACAAACATTGCCCTGACCACTGGAAGTTAGTTGACTGAGTCCTGACTCAGCCACTCTCAGCCAACCAAGTTGTAGCTCCTAGTTGCTACCATAAAAAAAGGTTCTGTGCCGATTTTCTTTTTTTGATCATTACCATACAATTTAGAATATTTCACTAAAGGAGGAGATGGCCACTTTAAATTTCCAGCAAAAAGACAATAAAAAAGCCAATCTTGGAGATGCTTCAGTTACTCTAAGTTTCTCATATGGTGTCTCTTTTGAGATCCTGAAAGAGATCTGCTCTTCCCACTATATAAAATTGTGATAACCTTGCACATAATGAACATTTCTCATGTTATGATTTCCTAGGGCTAGCCAACTATTCTCTCAATGGAGAGATTCCATTTAATTTCAGTAGAGTTGCTCCTGAATTTGGCTGTATGTTTATATCAGTAACATTGGGCTCAATCCAGGGACAACAGGATGAAATTCTATGGCCACTGTTATACAAGAGGTCAGACTAGATGATCTAATTGTCCCTTCTGATTTTAAAAATCTATTACTGAATTAAAACATATTTAAAAAATAAAGTACCAAAAAAAGCAACATTTAATAGTCATTGTAAACAGTTACAAACCTGTTTTCCAAATATTTCTAATAAAAAAAAAATCACAACCTAGTAATCACCAAGAGTAAACCCCAGGAGGGGAAATTTCTCTCTGTAGGAGGGGAAATTTCTTCTCTGCTTCTGAGCTTTGCTATTCCACACCCCAACTTGAGCCAACAGCTCAGCACAGCTTCTGGTCAGTTTCGCACAGAAGACTGAAACAAGCTTAACAAGGTCTGAGTTCTTTTGGCTTTATATGGAATAGGACCAAACAGATACCTATAAACCTGCCTGGGTACATTTTATGTTATAAAGCACTAAAAATTAGAAGCCCTTAAAATATTTTAAATCAATTCAATTTGCTTTATAGATTCTGATGTTACAAGCAAACATTCATAAGACAAAGTTAATATGAGGCTACAGACTGATTTTTAGAAAAAGAATTTTAGCTCAAAGCCACTTGACTAAATATCTTTTTTATGCAGAGATGTTTTAAATTGGGTCTTCAAAACAAACTTATGAATTAATATAGAATAAGAGACATGTAGGGCAAAAAGGGACACAGAAATTATGAAGACCAGCCTCCCACACAGTGGCAGGACCAAGTATACCTAGACCAGGGGTGGGCAAACTATGACCTGGGGGCCGCATCCTGCCCTTCAGACGTTTTAATCCAGCCCTTGAACTCCTGCTGGGGAGCAGGGTCTGGGGCTTGCCCTGTTCCAGAACTCCAGCCAGGGAGCGGGGTTGGGGGCTTGCCCTGCTCGGCGCATTCCAGGCGCTGTACGGCTCCTAGAAGCAGCAGCATGTCCCCCCTCTGGCTCCCACGCATAGGGGAAACCAGGGGGCTGCGCACGCTGCCCCCGCGCCAAGCGCCAACCCCGCAGTTGGCCTGGAATCGCGTCCAATGGGAGCTGCAGGGGTGGTGCCTACGGATGGGGCAGCGCACAGAGCTGCCTGGCTGCCCCTCAGTGTAGAAGCCGGAAGGGGGACTACTTCCAGGAGCTGCTTGAGGTAAGCACCACCCAGAGTCTGCACTCCTGCCCCACCTGGTGCCCCTGCCCTGATCCCCCTCCCACCCTCCAAACCCCTTGGTTGCAGCCCAGAACACCCTCCTGCACCCCCAGCCCCACCCCAGAGCCTGCACCCCAGCCGGAGCCCTAACCCCCCCCCATCCCAGCCTGGAGCCCCCTCCCACACCCTTAACTCTTCATTTTTGGCCCTACCCCAGAGCCCGCACCCCCTCTCACACCCCAATACCCAATTTCGTGAGCATTCATGGCCCACCATACAATTTCTATACCCAGATGTGGCCCTCGGGCCAAAAAGTTTGCCCACCCCTGACAGGTGTCTGTCCACCTGTTCTTAAAAATCTCTGATGATGTGGATTCCACAACCTCCCATGGAAGTCTATTCCAGAGTTTAACTAGCCTTACAATTAGAAAGTTTTTCCTAATATCTAACCTAAATTTCTCTCACTGCAGATTGAGCCCATTACTACTACTTCTACCTTCAGTGGGCAAGGAGAACAATTGATCACGATCCTCTTGATAACAGTCCTTAATATATTTGAAGACTGTTATCAGGTCCTCCCTCAGTCTTCTTTTCTTAGACTAACCATGCCCAGTTTTTAACCTTTCCTTAAAGATCGGTTTTATTGCTCTCCTCTGGATTCTCTCCAACATGTCCACATCTCTCCTAAAGTGTGGCACCCAGAAGCGGACAAAGTACTCTAGCTGGGGACTCACCAGTGCTGAGTAGCACAAGACAATTACCTCTGTGCCTTACATAGGACACCTCACACCCCAGAATATTTGCCTTTTTCACAACTGCATCACATTGTTGACTCATTCAATTTGTGACCCATTAGGACCCCCAGATCCTTTTCAGCAGTACTATCACCCAACCATTTACTTCTCATTTTGTAATTGTGCATTTGTATTTTCCTTCTTAAATGTACTACTTTTCACTTGTCTTTACAGAATTTCATCTTGTTGATTTCAGACCAATTCTTTAATTTGTCAAGGTTGTTTTAAATCTAATCCTGCTCTCCAAAGCACTTGCAACCCCACACAACTCGGGGTCATGCATAAGTTTTATAAGCGAACTCTCGACTCTATTATCCAAGTCTTGAAATGAAAATATTAAATAGTACAATCACACTATTATGACACCCTGATAGCCATCAAAACAATATCCCTATTTAATTACAGGATAGGTGCAGTACAGGCAAAAGCAATGTAAGTTTCCTCACTGTATGGTGTCTCTTATTCAATAAGAAGGCAGTTAAATTTTCACAATAATTCAATCTTTGGACTCTTTGCTGAGGCTGCCAGTGATTATAGTACTTTGTGCAACCTGGACATTCATCCTCTGGAAATTGGGCTTGGACAAACACACACCACGTTTAACATAGGCCAACAGTCACAAGACAGTATTTACTACTGGTGAATGTAGTGACCAGGAAGGGATTTGAACCAGACACCTAGTTGTGAAAGACTAGCCAGATACAAGAAAATCCACAAACAACAAAAAATAGTTAACATGGAGTTAAGGTTGCAGGACCTCAACCCTATTTTAGGTGCTAATGTGGCCCCTATTATTGCAGTATGCAAGTTCCTTGATCTTTAATGTACTTATACGCAACACCTCTGAGGTAGGAAGTGCTATTATCCCCATTTTACAGATGGGGAAATGTCACACAGAGACATTAAGTGACTTGTCACCGAGGGAGCGTGTGGCATAGTAGGGAATTGAGCCAAGGTTGTCTCCTGAGTCTCAGACTAGCAGCCTAGCCATCTGACCATCCTTTCCTCTACACTACCCTTAGCTCTTCATGTCCTTCTAGAACAGGAGTTTGGTTGCGATTGTCAAAAGAGCCTAAGAGTTAGGCAGCCAAGTTCCCTTAGGCGCCTTTGAGGATCTCAGCCTAGATTCCTAAAATTCAAACATTCCAAAACAAAGACATGTAGAGTTAAGAATATTTACATAGAAAAATTAAGATACAAATATTAGAAAACCAGGAAATGCAGAGTAACACTTTCCACACAGTAGCCAGGCAACCTTAACTTAGGCCCTTTCAATCCCTACCCTAAGGATTCACTCAGGGAAATTATAATACCTCACCCCATCTCAGCCTTTTTAAAACCTGATCTCGGCTACCCAGCTACAAGTCCTCCCCAAGTTAACGGTGCTGCAGAGAGCACAGTGAGAGGTCTGCAGGAGTGTATGAACAGAAGTGCCAATTGGGTGTTGAGGAAGGCACAGAGGAAGTAGCCAGGTTTCGTCACTGCTCTGGAATCTGTGCTGCCTACCAACAGTTTCCTAGCTGAATTTACGATGTTTGTTTTACCAATGACACTTAGTGGGCCGGACTACTTGAAAAATCATCACCCTTACTCTCCCCCTCCCGGTGATAATTCTTAAAACACTTATGCCGATTTAACAGAGAAGGAGCTAGCAGCAGGTCACTCTTGTGGAGGGGCTCAACTTTGGACCTCGCTTCATGTCTTGGTTCACTTGACCCTGGATTTGAAGGCCTTCAGGACAAGAAATGGGCCCGCATGTTCTCTCAGACTTGTCCAAGAAGTTTGGGAAATCAGTGAGGAACAGAGGGAAGGATGGGACCATGTCTAAGATTCGGGATAATCTTTTTTGGAGTTCAGTTTGATAAAAGTTAGTACTTTTGCTTACATAGGGCACCTAGATTATGCAGTGGGTGTAAAACTTTACAACTATACAAATATATCTTGGCTTTAAAAACAAAAATAATGTTTATACAATACCTTTCAAAGAACCAATCATCCGGGGACACCGCTGTCCCAAGTATCTCTCTATATCATCCCATGCTTTTTTAAGTGTAGCATAATATTGAATATACCTTCCTAAATCAGAGTAAATACTTATAAAGATAGCCTTCCAGCTCTGCTTTCTCTGAGTCTTCTCTGCCCTGAATAGACAAGAATAAAAATATGATAAGTTTCTAGTCTAACAAATTCACTTTAAAAACAATAAGTTATTGCTTAGGCAGTTAGGGTTTTGCTAAGTAAAATGATAACATTATGTTATAACAGTGTACATCGATACACTTCAGTCCTGTGAAGGTACAGATGTTCAACTAATTCATGGAACTATTCAAATTTTTAATTTCCTTTGCAAGTAACTACATTTCAGCCAGTCATCTTTTCTTTAGAGGACTGTGGGCCATTATTAAACTCAGGAACTTGTAGAAAACTAAATCAGATCAATTTAACTTGCATGTGCAGAAGGCATTTAAGTTAAAAAAAAAAAAAAAAAGTCCAACCCTGCTGTCCTTTCTCAATTTTGCCTAAATAAGGACTACGGGACCAGAAACCAGGTCACGAAAATAGAGGTGACAATTAAAATAAAGATTTCATGTGTAGATGACATTTTATTTTCCAAAGAGCACCTCCTGCAATAAAAAGAAACAAACAAACGCCCATTAAAAATTGAGACAAATAGCAGGGGATTCAGCTTTTATTCATTTGTAGAACAGCAACGAACATTTCAGCATTTAAGTCACAAATAAACTCAATCTTCAGAGAGTTCACAATCTAAAAAACAGATACAGAGAAGACAGGACACATTAAGACAAACAGAGAAGGTAATAACTTGGAAGGTTTATTAATTGTTATCAATTCATTCTTGTATACATCATAAAAGAGAAGTCTTTGAAAGAGCTGAGTGAGGAAAAGGTGGTGGGAGCCTGGTCAGTGGCCTTATTTAAGTTTTAAAAATAGTTCCCATAAAAATCAGACTTAAAGAACAACCATTCATCAAAGTAAGTAACACTGAAAATGAACTCCCAAAATAATTATCTCCTTAGGCCTTTTTATACAAGGACAGAAGTTTCAGATCAGACTAGCATGCCAGGCACTGCCATTTAGGAGGCTCAGATACAATGATATGGCCCATCCACCAAGGCTGACTGTTGAAAGTTTTACCAGGACTGAGTGTTCCTGAGCTGCTAGAGGGCTGGAACCAGTGGCAGATTAACACACAGTCCCAGGCACCCATGCCCAGGGGCCCCGGCCAATTTGGGGGCCCCTATAGGAGCACTGGAACCTGTGTAAAAGCATGGGGGGGAGGGGGTCACATAACAGGTGCTGGAATTGTGGCCCTGCCTCCTGCTCAGGCCAGATGCTGGAGCTGGGCTGTGGTAAGAACTGTCCAGGAAGCCTGAGCTGCTATGGGGAGCATCAGACCCTCCACCTGCCCTGAGTGGAGGGCCGGGGTGGTAAGAGCAGCCCCTGGCCCAGGTACCCGCATCCCAGGGTGCACCACCCAGGGCAGGTAGAGGGTCCAGGGCTCCCCACAGTGGCCTGGGCTCCCTAGGTGGTTCTTATCACTGCCAGGCTCTGGCTTCAGGCCTGGCCAGGCCAGGGCCTCAGAGGGGGAAGAGGAGGAGCAGGGCCCCATGGTGAGTAGGAGCTAAGGCCAATCTCAGCCCCCCACCGGGAAGAGGTTGGCACCACTAGCAGGGACTGTGCTTTATAGTTGGGGAAATTATTATCACCTCCCTTGCTGTGAAGTGCAGCCCCTGCCATGCCTGCCTGAGGCTACTACACCCATGTTAAGAAGTGGGCAGGCATGGCCCTCCCACTTTTAAAAGGGGGGAGGGCCATGGCCATGCTGGTCCTCTCTGGTTCCAGCCCCCCAGGGTGTTGGAGGCCCAAATGTTCTTTGTGCCCAGGGCCCCACTAGATTTTAATCCGCCTCTGACTGCAACTGTTGACTGACCAACTGAGGAGCAAAACTAGTTAGCTTTCTTAAATAAATAAATAAATGGAGATATACTACCTCCTAGAACTGGAAGGGACCTTGAAAGGTCATCGAGTCCAGTCCCTTGCCTTCACTAGCAGGACCAAGTCCTGATTTTGCCCCAGATCCCAAAGTGGCCCCCTCAAGGACTGAACTCACAACCCTGGGTTTAGCAGGCCAATGCTCAAACCACTGAGCTATCCCTCCCCCCAAACATCTTGGTAGAAGCTGAAGGGGAGGACATGCATACCCAGTATTGCCAAAAGGGAAACAGAATTCTCCATTTTGTATATTTCCACTAAGTTGTTTTCAGGCTGTTCTATTCAAAATGGGCAGTTTCTTGTCTCTCATGCAGCTTTCAGATGTGGAACTAACAGGTTAGTTATATTTTAGAGAGAAGGCCATTTCCAAATACTACAAAGCATGTAAAAGTTAGGAAATGCTTTTGTGTTTACCGATTCTTAGTTTGAATGAGAACATGTAAATAGAATACAATATCCATTTGCAAAATGGAAATATTCAGTCATTTTATTTTCAGAAATTGCGAGTGACAGTGACTGTAATTTTATGATGTGTGCCCTCCATTCCCCATGTTCACCCACTCCACGTGTCATCATTTGTTGACTTTTGCCTAAATTTAAGTCCCAATCTCATTAGAGTCTCTGACCTCTGCATCTGTGCAGCACTTCAATTAAGTCAATGGAATATCATCCATGCAAAGCATTTGCAGGATCATGGTCTTAGTTGGTAAGTTCTTTGGAACAGGGACATCATCATTAAGGCGGCGAATCTGTGGCTGGTGCTGGCCCAGGGGCTGCTCGAGCTGGGCAGCCCCTGGACCAGCAGCAGCCGTTTGGGTGTGTGGGAGGAGGCTCAGGGCTGGGGGTAGGGGTTTGGGAGGTGTGGGGGTGCGCTTACCTGGGGTGGGGGGCACCCCTGCAGCTAGTAGGTGGTGGAGGGGTCTCCACACTGCCCATACCTGCAGGTCCCGCCCCCATAGGGAGCTGCCCTGCCCTGGCCCCTGCCTCCGCTACCTAGGAGCTGCAGGGATGGAGCTGCTAGGAAGCCCTGCCCCCAGCATCAGCAGGGCTCCCGGGTCATTGCCCCCAGCACCCCTGAACCACCCCTCCCCCCCCCCATGACTAAAACATTGCCTTAATCATCATCATCTGTCTGAAAAGCACCACACAAAATTGTGGCACTGTGTAAAAATTACCTGAATTGCTCCCTGAATCCATCTCCATTCCTAAAGAAGAGGCCAAATCCACCATGTAACATAGAAGTAACAATATTAAACAAATCTCTAGGAGTATCTTCAAGAGCTAACATTAACTTTGTTCAGTTGATATCAGAATACAGCTGATCTCACAACTTTTGTTAATATTGGATCTACAAAGCATTACTTAAAGACCACGAGAGGCTATGAAGCATTTTGCAATGTTATTCTGAAAGATCCTATGCAAAAATAGTGCTGTTAACCAAATGAGCTGGTTAAAAAGAACTGCTGCAAACTAATTTTTTTTTCCGTAAGATAAGAGTACCCTTACTTACTCAGATAAAAGCCAGTATTTCTTGCAGTGTCTTTTCCACAATGGATCATGACTTGATAGCTGGTTAAATCTTCGACTTACATAGCAGCAGCTATAAATATAAGTCAGTGTTAAGTCTGATTACAAAAAGTAGTAAAATAACGAAGGACAAATGCAAGTCAAGGTATTAACATATTTAAGATTATATGTCAAAATGAACATTAGAGCTATAAAATTTTAACAAGTTGTAACTTTATTTTTAGGGAATACAAACAGTTTTAAATGCAATACAACTGTCATTAAAACATGTTGTAACAAGGCTTTCTTGTCCACATAAGCAAAGAGAAGAAAATAAATGTTATAAACCATGTTACAGAACCACATTTTTAATCCTGTTAGATACCCAAGCAAAAACAGGGTTTTCTAAAATGGTTTATGACATTTGGGGTGGGGGTGAGGTTACCCCTGCACTCCCTCCAGCCACAAAATAGTCTTGTGTCTCATCTACATTGGCAGTCACCATAATACACCACCAGAGTCACTCCATGATGACAAATATGCCTGAGGACTGTCTTCACTATAGCTGCAAAGCCAGTGAATTACAGTGACAATCTGCTAGTGTAGGCACAGCCCTAGAGAATGAATATCAGGGAACTTTCTTGGCAATTAAATATTTTTGTAGAATAGGCAAAGACATAGGTCTATTTCACAAAAGAATTTTACTAGACATTTTCCATTGTGACACTCCATTAGTGGTAGCAGTGCTAGCATAGGCTAGCTCAGGGGTTGGCAACCTTTCAGAAGTGGTGTACCGTGTCTTCATTTAGTCACTCTAATTTAAGGCTTCACGTGCCAGTAATACGTTTTAACGTTTTTAGAAGGTCTCTTTCTATACGTCTATAATATATAACTAAACTATTGTTGTATGTAAAGTAAATAAGGTTTTTAAAATGTTTAAGAAGCTTCATTTAAAATTAAATTAAAATGCAGAGCCCCCCGGACCGGTGGCCAGGACCCAGGCAGTGAGAGTGCCACTGAAAATCAGTTTGCGTGCCACCTTCGGCATGCGTGCCATAGGTTGTCTACCCCTGGGCAAGGTGTTGATGTTTTAATCAGTTTTATCTACTAGGCAGTCAGCCTACACTAGTGCTTTCATTGTTGCCGCTACAGATGGCGCTCCATCAGTGGTAGTACAGTGATGGAAGAAACTTTTTAACTACCTGTCAGTTGATTACTACCTATTTAAAAATATTAAAATATATTAATTTCAAGTACAGGAAATAATGTAACTATCAGCATGAAATAAGAACAGCACAGTGTGAATATTTGAGAGAGCTGTTTGCACTAAGTCATTTTCCCCCCCAATTTTACTTTGTTATGAAGTTTCCTCAGCTTTGGGAAATTAGCCCTTTTGAAGCACCAACTATACATATTACTGGATAGCTCTATCCTCGGTTTACCCATATTGAATCAGGTCATGATCACTAGTTCCTAGACAAATATCAACTTCCAGTCAAGCGATGGATTCATCTTTATCCACCACAATGATATTCAAAATAAAGTTACCTCAAAATACCTCAAAAGTTATCTATACTTTTTAGAAACTAATCATGTTTTACTACTGGCAGTATAAGACCTCTAGCACACACCTCCCAAATTGAAGTTTCCAATAATCCCACAATTTTCCTTCCTATACATTATAGACATGTGTGTAAGAAGTTAATCATGCTGTTTTCTCAGTGATTTGTAACACCCCTAGTCAGTACTCCTTCCATTGATCCATATGCATTCAAGATCCTGAGTGAAAGTTAATTAAATAACACTAAAACAGGTACAGTAACTCCTCACTTAACATTATAGTTATGTTCCTGAAAAATGCAACTTTAAGTGAAACCATGTTAAACTAATCCAATTTTCCCATAAGATTTAATGTAAATGTAGATTTAATGTAATGTAAATTTAATGTACATGAATTTTTGGGGGGGCAGACAAAAGGCATCATATACTGTAGAGTACTGTGGTGGGGAGGTGCCCCTGGCTTACCTCTAGGGTCTGGGAGGGAGTTAGGGTGTGGGAGGGTACTCAGGGTGGGGTGCAGGGTCTGGGAGGGAGTTAGGGTGCAGGAGGGCACTCAGGATGGGGGGTGCGGGAGGAGGCTCAGGGCCGGGGCAGGCAGGAGGTGCAGAGCATTTACCTGGGGCAGCTCCTGTTTCGTGCAGGGGGTGTGTAGGTGGCTCTCTGCTTCTCTCTGGCCGGCTTTGAAGGGGAAAGCGATGCTTCTCTCTGGCCGCTGGCTGCGCGGCTGCCCCTGCTCCTCCTGAGTCCTCCGGCCCGTGCTCGCAGGGCCGCATTCCAAAAGGGACTTACGAGCTGCAGGCCAGGACCCCGGGGCCTGTTAGCCCAGGGCCCTGCAGCCCCTAAAGCCCCTGCGTTCCAGGTGGCCCTGCCTGCCGGGGGGTGGGGGGCAGCAGCTTCCCCGCTCCCTTCCTCCCTCCCAGAAAGTCCTGGGAAGCGCTGGGAGGGAAGAAGGGAGGAGGAGGAGGCGGAGAAGAGGAACTTGTGTAATTCTCCCTTGTGAAGTCAGCCAAACGACGTTATAAGGAAGCATTGCACAACTTTAAACGAGTACATTCCCTAAGGGAGCAGCGACGTAACTTCGAAACAACGTTAAGCGGGAGGATGTTAAGTGAGGAGTTATTGTAATGGGATCTTTAAAGTATAGTGCCACCCCCCCATCTGTTATCCACTCTAGCCTTCTGAAAACAGGTTATAATCAGCAATTTTAACAACCAAATACTGTGGTTATCCAACCAGGTTTCAGTAATTAGAGATACAAGATGGGTGAAATGGGTCCAATAAAAAGATATTCCCTTAACCACCTTGTCTCTCTAACAGCCTGGGACCAACACAGCTACAACACTGTGTACAGGTTTCAGTAACGTCACATAGGTCAAGTTTCCTCTCATGAGAATTTCCAAGTTTTCTTGCGTGGTACCCAACCTCGAAACGTTTTCTCTTACACAGTTTGCCACACCAATTCGGTGTGCTCACAGCACTGCCCAGCCTGAATGTACACGAAATGTTTCCCTGCAGCGTCCCGGGCCGCTGGAGTTGGGAGAGCAATGTGTGAGCACCGGCGCGCCGAGGGCTGGACAGCAACCCCGTGCGGCTGTTCTGCAGCCAGGGGACGCACCTGGCACGGTGCAGGTCGCCCCGCAGCAGCACAGGACGGGACCGGGGGCGCCGCGCACACAAGCTGGGGCACTTACGGAGAACACACCTGTTGACGCCTCCTTAGAGGGGATCGCGAAATCCACTTGCTGCGCTACCCTACGTCCCTCCCCCCTACCGGGGGCCCCTCCGCCTGCCCGGGGATGTGCCGCACAGGCTCCGAGAGAAAACCCCGCTGCCCCGCGGGCCGCCCACGCCCCCCGGGCCGCTACCGCCGGCCAGGGCGCATCAGAGCCCGGGACACGCCGCGCCAGGGGCGCCGCCCCAGTCCCGCAGCGGAGGGCAGGTAGCGGCGAAGGAGCGTCTGACCCCCGGGGAGCGGCCCGCAGCGCAGACGCGCCCAGCCCCGGGGTCCCGCCCTACCTCAGGAGATCCCTGTAGTCCAGGAAGCTCAGGATGAGCAGTAGCGGGTCGGTGGGCAGCAGCTCCAGGCTCAGGGGCTGCGGCTCCGGCTCTACGGCCGCCGCCATCTTGAAAGGCCTCGCGCCGGGCCGGGCCGGGCCTGCTGCTGCCCGGGGAGCCCCGCCCCTCACGCCGGTTTGTTATCAAACGCCGGGGAGGGGCGGGCTGGAAGGAGGAAGCTCTTAAAGGGCCCGCGCCTAACCCGGGCGCGCAAAGCGCCCTGCAGGGCAGCGCGGGAACTGCAGGCTCGGCAGAGACTTCAAAGGGGGGATCCTGCCCCCACGTGGCCCAACGGCCTGGGCTCAGTCTTAAGTGCTGCTGGAACTAGGGTGACCAGATGTCCCGCTTTAATAGGGACAGTCCCGATCTTTGGGGCTTTTTCTTAGATAGAGGCCTATTATCCCCTAGCCCGATTTTTCACACTTGCTATCTGGTCACGCTAGCTAGAACAATGGTTATGGTGGAGGATGCTGAAAACCATTGAACCAAACTGTAAACCCCATATGCTGGAAACCACTTCAAGCCAGGGGGTGCTGCAGCACACCTGCCCCCCC